TCACTTGGAGCTGGTGTACTTGGTGACGGCCTTGGTGCCCTCGGACACGGCGTGCTTGGCCAGCTCGCCGGGCAGCAGCAGGCGCACGGCCGTCTGGATCTCCCGGGACGTGATGGTCGAGCGCTTGTTGTAATGCGCCAGGCGGGATGCTTCGCCGGCGATGCGCTCGAAGATGTCGTTGACGAAGGAGTTCATGATGCCCATGGCCTTGGACGAGATGCCGGTGTCGGGGTGCACCTGCTTGAGCACCTTGTACACGTAGATGGAATAGCTCTCCTTCCGGCTGCGCTTGCGCTTCTTGCCATCCTTCTTCTGGGCTTTGGTGACCGCTTTCTTCGAGCCCTTCTTGGGCGCGGGAGCGGACTTGGCCGGCTCAGGCATAGCGGGAAGCACCAGCGGCAGGAAAAGACCAAGGACGCAAGCACAACAGCGGGACCGAGGCTACCGGAAGCGGCTCGGTACTTATAGAGGCTGTATGCAAATTAAGGTTCCCAGCACGCCGCGTTGTGATTGGCGGGTTTTCAGTGGCGCTCCTGCGGGAGAGGGGGGACGAGGTTATGCAAATAAGTGGATTCTGCCCGCGCTCTCCTATTGGGCATCAGGACAAAGCTCTGCTTTAGCCAATCAACGTGCTCGGTGAACAATCGCCGTTCTGCCTATAAAAAGGTGAAGGGGAGCCGTTTAGGGCGACTTCCTCGATCGTCAGTCGGGAGCTGCTCGCAGTGCGTATCGCCGTCATGTCTGGTCGTGGTAAACAAGGAGGCAAGGCCCGCGCTAAGGCCAAGTCCCGCTCGTCCCGCGCTGGCCTCCAGTTTCCTGTGGGGCGTGTGCATCGTCTGCTGCGCAAAGGCAACTACGCCGAGCGGGTGGGGGCCGGCGCGCCCGTCTACATGGCGGCGGTGCTGGAGTACCTGACCGCGGAGATCCTGGAGCTGGCGGGGAACGCCGCCCGAGACAACAAGAAGACGCGCATCATCCCTCGCCACCTCCAGCTGGCCATCCGCAACGACGAGGAGCTTAACAAGCTGCTGGGCAAAGTCACCATCGCCCAGGGCGGCGTTTTGCCGAACATCCAGGCCGTGCTGCTCCCTAAAAAGACGGAGAGCCACCACAAGGCAAAGGGCAAGTGAGGAGCCGTGCGTCTCGCGCCCACCCAGCCCCCGTTTGAAAGGGGCACCTGTGAAATCAAAGGCTCTTTTCAGAGCCACCCACTCTTTCAAGTAAAAGAGCTGTTACTATGCTAACCAGGTTCTTCCATTCCACGTTTCGCAGTAGGGAGCGCCCACCCCACGCATACGCGGGGGGTTGCGAGTGCCATTTGCCTTCGACTCCCAACCGTCCCTTCGCCCACATCTCGAGCACTCCCGCTGCCTTGCCTTTGGCAGGGCGGGGCCGTAATCTTTAAGGCCACGGATCAGGGCTAGTGGAGGCAACAAGACCTCTCGGGCGCCCCCAGCCACTCGGTTACAACTCCTTTGGGAGGCGGCCTCCGGCGCGCTTGATCGATCTCAGTCGGCGCCCAGCGCGCAACTCCCCAGTTACCCCGGAGACCTGTGCCCGGCACTTGGGACCTAGTAGGAAGGGAACGCTCACAAACGCACCACACGGACAGCCCACCGCAGTCGGGAGGGGAGCGGGCAGTTTTCGAGACTGGCCAACCGGGGGCTTGCTTGGCCTGACTGAGCCGACTGTCTTTGTAGGTTGGTTTGGTTTGGGGTTTTTAGAAGTGAGAAGATGCCTTCCAGGCGGAGATAGGGGCTTTCCAGGGCGGGATCTTGTGCCCGGGGCGGGGACAATTTTCCGATCCGAAAGGCGGGAAAAGCGGTCCTTCAGACCGACTACGGGGTTCGGAAAACCTAACAAGGCCACCAGGGGGCGGGGGGGAGGAGGGGGCAAACGGAAGGTTGAGGTTCGGCGCGGGAGTTACAAGGCGTGGAAAGGAAGAGGGTATGGCGGGGAGCGTGTCCTAGGGAGTGGAGGGCTGCGGGGGAACATTCTGACACAGTCGCGGGTAAGAAAAAAGGAAAGAACAAGAAAAAAATGACTCGGCCCGAAAGAAAGGGGAAAAAAATAGAAAAAACTGTTGGCAAACTGCTGCAAAGTAGAGGGGGGGGCGGGGGCGCGCGCGCGCGCAGGGAGAATTCTGCCCCAGCCAATCGGGGACGCCAAGGAGGATGACATCACAGCCAATGGGCAGCCAGCGCGGGACTTTCAATTTTATCGTCCCGCCCAATCCGGAAGCGACTGTGTCTATAAAGACGGCGGCGGTGGCCCGGGGCCTCGCTCCCTTCCCCGCCGTTGTGTTGTTTGGCTCGCGTGTCTGATCGCCATGGCCCGTACCAAGCAGACTGCTCGCAAGTCGACCGGTGGCAAGGCCCCGCGCAAGCAGCTGGCCACCAAGGCGGCCCGCAAGAGCGCGCCGGCCACGGGCGGCGTGAAGAAGCCGCACCGCTACCGCCCCGGCACCGTGGCGCTGCGCGAGATCCGCCGCTACCAGAAGTCCACGGAGCTGCTGATCCGCAAGCTGCCCTTCCAGCGCCTGGTGCGCGAGATCGCGCAGGACTTCAAGACCGACCTGCGCTTCCAGAGCTCGGCCGTCATGGCGCTGCAGGAGGCGTGCGAGGCCTACCTGGTGGGGCTCTTCGAGGACACCAACCTGTGCGCCATCCACGCCAAGCGCGTCACCATCATGCCCAAGGACATCCAGCTCGCGCGCCGCATCNTAAAGACATCCAGCTGGCTCGCCGCATTCGCGGGGAGCGAGCGTAAGAAGTACGCGCACTCTGTTCCATCGCATCCAAAGGCTCTTTTCAGAGCCACCCACAACAGCACTGGGAAGGAGCTGTATTGTATCACTTGGGGCCTCCGTGCTCCCACCGCGTCCTGCCGGGGAGGGAAGGGGGGGGCGGCGTTGGGTTCCCAACACAGGCATAGGCTCCAGGCCTCAAGACGTACTTCCCTCTGCTGCCCACTTTCCGAGGTGTCGTTTTGAGTTTTACAGGGGTTTGCTCAGTCTTAATGGGGACTGCCGGCGTAGCCGCTGCTCCCCTGGGCGAGGTCGGGACGCCCAGTTTCGCTGCTCGGACACCTCGCGCAGTCGTGGTGTAGGGCTCTCGTGGGCCGTTCTGGTCACAAGTGACCGGGGGTCGGAGGTTGGGCTGTCCCCCCGAGCAGCTACTGGGGGACGCTCAGGGACACGCCGTCCAGAGCGCACCCCGGAGGCCTCTCGGCCAGCTGCGGGCCTCCCGACCCCGCCGGAAACGGCCCCACCCGGCGCGGCTCTCGGGCTGCGGAGGAAAGTCGCCCCCTCTGTCGGGTGGGTTTCTGTCAGTTCAAGTCCCGGATGCCTGCGTCCCGACGGCAGATAACTTCGGGCCTCACTCGCCAACTGGGTGATACCTCCTATCCTGTGCTCCCAATCAAGGCCCCGGCGGGGGGAGGCGCGGGGGGGCCGCGCGCGTGTACAGGCCCTATGGGCCACTCGGGAGCTGGGCCTTCAGCGGGCCGTTTCCTGCCCGGGTCCGCAGAGTGAGACTCGCTGTACACCGGGGAGGCGTCTGAAAGCTTCGACCTGTGTCTGGGTACTCTGCCCGGACATGGTTTCTCCGCTTCTTTTTTTTTTTTTTTTAAGCTCCCCTTGCCTCTCGAGATGTGTCAGAAGAGGGGAGAGCCGTGTAGGGTCTGTGCCCCTCCTGCTACAGTTGGCCACATGTTTCTGTTTCAGACAATTTTCAGAGCATGCCTCTAGGTCTCTGCCCAGTCCCTTGTTGCTAGCGTAGGCCCCAGTGCAGGCTGGGTCCCTTGGACCGGGCCTGTACTCTTGAGTTAGGAAGTCCTAGTGACTTAGAGGTGGGGGGGGGG